GCATACTGCTCTCCAGATCCATCCATGCTGCTGCAAATGGTAAGAATTCCTTCTTTTTCACAGCAGCTCAGCCAGTTTTTTAATCCACTGATGGGCACTTAAGGGTGTTTCCAAATGTTAGCTATTATGAATTGTGCTACTAATCTTTTATAGAAGTAAGGCCCAGAGAGGTTAAATGACTTGTGCAAGAGCTCACAGCTCTTAGGAGGAAGAGTCGGGCTTCTCTACCCACTCATGTTGGGACGGTTCCTCCATTTGAAGTCCTATAGCTCTTACCATCATTCTCTCAAATTTAATACTGGAAATGTATAGTTTTGCATGTTTGTTGAACTTCATCTTAGCACAATGTATCTTCCCAACTAGACTCGAAAACACTGAAAGCATGAACTGTAAATAATACTTCTCTATAATCCTCAGAGTACTTAGCTCTATTCTCCACTCATTAAATAAGACTTAATTGGACTTTCCGCAAAGAGATCACTTTCAAAACAACTATTCCGGTAATTTTGCAATCAAATAAACTCTGCCAACATCCTTTGCTAAGCAACAGTCATCTTTTGCTGGAAATTTAAGTTTAGAAAAAGTTAATGCCTCTTTATCTCATTCTATTCCTTTTGACGGATGAAACAAAAAATGATCAGTTTGCATCTCCAAATGATCCACCCCCGTGAAAGCAGGGGGAAGAGTGAGCATCACTAAGACACAAATGTGTTATGTTCAAGGCAATCAACTAAAACAAGCCACCCCCAAAATATAGCTAAAGTGAAGTGACTCAGACACAGTTCATGTTTTTAGTCACTTGGAATCCGGAGTTGCTCTGAAACACAAATCGTTTTTAAAGCATTACTCATTTTTCTTTCCCTGATAAAACTAAAATTATCCAATACAATTATCTGAATGGTTAGAATTTAAAGATTTAAAATACATGGCCAAAACCTAACATTTCAAATTAGTGCCATTGTTTAGGACAAACACTAACTAATAATGATGGTCTGGTATACAAGTATACTGGAGAAACTAATTTTCTACCACTTTCTTTTTATTTAGTTAATCTGGAATTTTTTTAAAGCATTCTTCCATGGGGCTGTCCTAAAGAAAGCATTGTAGACACCATACACCTGAAAAGTCATTACTCAAAATAAGAAAGCATTTATTCCCTCGTGGGAAAACTTAAATATGACTCAAGACCTTGACTTAGAAATAACTGAGTTTCACCAACTAAAACAATTTAAATTCCTAAGTGACCTACCTTATCAGTAGCTCCAGGATGACAAATAGGTTTAATCATATATGCCAACTCTCACTGGTTGGCAGTAGAGGCCTGGATACTGTGTTGAGAATGATTCTGAGGTCATATTCCAAGAGAAAGCATGTTTGTCTGTATTCATAGGTTATACATATATGCATATAAATTTCTTGAATAATGTCTTTCTATTCTCCCCCCTCATTTCCCATTAGCAATCAGCAATGCTTATGTGCCAGTACCAAAAATTTGGACTAACTGCCATAATTTATGGAAAGTAAAATACAAATCCTTGATCTGAAATGAAGGATGTGGACCAGGTATTTTACAGGTGCTATTGGATTGTTTGGCTCATTTTAAGAGAGAGAATTTATTGAATAGTGCCCCATATTTACAGTGCTCTAATCATAGCAGTAAAGGAATAGGAGAGGAAATGAACTCTTATTGACAATCTACTATGTGTCAAGCACTGAGCCTTACCTCAACAGCCCACTCTCGTGGCCATATGCATGATTTTTGTCACTACCAATAACAGCAGCTCTCAGCTATCTTATTTTCAATCGTTCTATTCCCCAATCACCACTTCCTGTCTTTCTGCTTACTCTCTCCAGTACCCAGTCCCACACTAATCCCTCTACCCCACTGATATGCCCAACTCATTGATTCTACCATCCTGTCTCTCACTCCCCAAAATGTCCTTGTTTTCCTACTTACCTATCATAAACTCCATGGTCAACAAATCACTCCATTACATACATTGTCAACTCCGTCATTCTTTTCTCTATCATAATCACCTAGCAAAACCCCACATTTCATTAAATACACATCTCTGCTGATTCAAGACCTGCATCCATGCAACCTAAATGTTGGCAGAGGCAAAAAAAATTCACAACTATAGTGACTGGTCTCACTCTAAATTCATTATTACCTCAAGGAGGTCCTTAGTTAAGACTGAAGACTGACTGCCCCACTATATTTCCATTCACTTTCCCACTAGACATGAATTTATCTTCTTTCTCTTCAAAACTCAGTATCTCTTCTTTACTTATTCTCAGCTGATGGAAGTTTCTTGTTTCATGTAAAACAGATACAATCAAAACAATTCCCACAGGCTTTGTTTTTCAAATGCTTCTTTATTGTTGAAAGTATTACAGATATCCCCCTTTTCCCCCCATGCCTGTATCCATAGGTTATACATACATGCATCTAAATTATTTGATTAATCTCTTCCCGCTCCCACCCCCCACCCACTTCCCCTCTTTAGTTAGTGCTTCCCGCTCCCACCCCCCACCCACTTCCCCTCTTTAGTTAGTGCTTCCCTCTCCCCCTTCCTTCTTTGGTTAAACTCTTCCCTCCCCACACCCCATTTCCCTCTTTGGTTAAACTCTTCCCTCCCCCCACCCCATTTCCCTGTTTTTCTTTGTTTGTTTGTTTGTTTGTTGTTGTTTTTTGGGGTTTTTTATATATTTTATTGTTTTTTGTTTTGTTTTTTTTTTTTTTTTTTTGTTTTTTTTTTTTTTTTTTTGTTTTTTTGTTTGTTTTTTGTTTTGTTTTTTTGTTTGTTTTTTGTTTTGTTTTTTACAGAGAGGGAGAGAGATAGATAGCTAGAAATGTCTATGAGAGAGAAACATCGACCAGCTGCCTCTTGCACACCCCCTACCCGGGATGTGCTTGCAACCAATGTACATGCCCTTGACCGGAATCGAACTTGGGACCTTTCAGTCCGCAGACCGATGCTCTACCACTGAGCCAAACCGGTTTTCGGCCATTTCCCTCTTTGGTTAAACTCTTCCCTCTCCCCTCCCCCGACCTTTCCGTCTTTGGTTAAACTCTCCCCACTCTTCCTCCCCTTCCCTTGTTATATGCTTCCATGTCTCCGGATCTATTATATTCATCAATTTATTTTGTTCTTTGAACTCCACATGTAAGTGAGATCATGTGATACTAGAAAGCTGTGAAAAAGAAGTATATTTTATTCTTTGAGGCAGCATGGAGTATTATGCTACATGAAATAAGCCAGAGAAAGACAAGTATCACATGATCCCACAGGCTCTTACCAGGCCTTCTATCCACCTACCTACATCTATTTTTCTATGATCTACACTCCTTCTGACACATGGATGAGCTGTCCTTGCTCTGATTAAAAGCCAAATCCTCCACTTATACACTTGATCCCATCCCTCTTGCTTAATCAAGAACATTTCTCTAGCAATTATCTCCTCCCTCGACATAATCAAGTCTTCCTTTCTACTGAATCAGTCTCACCAGTATTCAAACATTCTGTAAATACACCCATCTTTGAAATCAAAAAGTTTAAAAACTTGCCTTGATCCCATATACCACTCCAGATACTGCCCCATGTTATAGTGAAAATCTTTTTTTTTTTGCGGGGGGGGGGGGGGGGGAGGGACTCTTCCTGCTTCCATTTCTCTTTCAAAATCTACACCAATCAGGCTTTTGCTTCCTACCTCCACCCTACCCTACATATACCACTGAAAGGCCACGAACAGCCCTTTCATTGCCAAATTCAGTGATCAATTCTCAAAACTGATCTAGCTGAACCTAACAATAGCATTTAATACAGTTGATCACTCTCTCCTTTAAAAAAAATCCTGCCGAAACCGGTTTGGCTCAGTGGTAGAGCGTTGGTCTGCGGACTGAAAGGTCCCGGGTTCGATTCCAGTCAAGGGCATGTACCTTAGTTGCGGCACATCCCCAGTAGGGGGTGTGCAAGAGGCAGCTGATGGATGATTCTCATCGATGTTTCTAGCTCTCTATCCCTCTCTCTTCCTCTCTGTAAAAAATCAATTTTTTTAAAATCCATTGCCTTCCAGTGCACCAGACACTCCTGGTTTTCTTCCTATATCACTAATAACAATTTCTCAGTATCTTTTGCTGGTTCCTTCTCATCTCCCAACCTCTAAATACTGAAATTTTCCAAAAAAGCATCTCCTTCTCTAAACCCACTCCTTTGATCATCTTATTTTGCCATCTTTATATTAATGACTTCCAAATGATCTCCATCTCAGACTTCTCTCCTGAACTTCAGATTAGCATGTTCAATTGACAAACCAGTAACTCCATTGATATATCTAATATGCATCTCAAAACTTCCTTTTCCAAAATTAAACTCCTGATACTCCCACCAAAAGTCACTAATCCCATAGTCTTATCTTAGTAAATAACAGCTCCATCAAGCCAATACTCCCACCAAAAAAAACTTGGGAGTCATTCTTGAATACTCTTGACTCAGCTCCTAATACCCAATTCTTCAGTAATTACTCTTGACTCTACTTCTAAATGTGACCATTCTGCATATGATCACTTCTCAATACTTAATGGACTAAACCATTTTTATCTTTTGCCTAGTTTCCTTATGATGCTTTTGCCCCACTATATTCTCAAGCAGCTGGAATAAACATTTTACTTATTTTAACAAAACTACCGTTTCCCCAAAAAGAAGACAGTGTCTTATATTAATTTTTTCTCCCAAAGTTGTGCTAGGTCTTATTTTCAGGGGATGTCTTATCTTTCCATGCACTAGGTCTTATTTTTGGAGGATGTCTTATTTTCGGGGACACACGGTATTTACAATTCTAATAACTCTTTTAACCTTAATGTTTTCTGGAATGGTATACATAAGTTCATTTTCATCAAGCCTCATCAGATTTATATTTTAATTTCAGTGGGAGTTTTCACGTAAAGATGTGAGCAAACTGAACTCTTTCTCCCACTATTTAGATTTACTAGGTTATGTTCAGTGAGTCTTCATATGCCTTTGAAGAGAAATGCTACTAACATAGGTTCTCCCACATTCTTTACATTCATATTGTCTCTCTCCAGTGTGAATTTTCACATGGCCCCGAAGGACTTTTCTAGAAGAGAAGGCTTTATCACATTCCTTGCATTTAAATGGCCTCTCTCCTGTATGAATTCTTTCATGTATTTCAAAGGAGCGATAATCTTTATAGATTTTACCACATTCTTTACATTTATAGGGTATCTCTCCAGTGTGCACCTTCAAATGGATCTGAAGGTTTTTTTTATAAGTAAAGGCTTTACCACATTCCTTGCATGTAAAAGGCTGCACTCCTGTATGCTTTCTTTCGTGTATTTCTAAGGAACTATAACGACTATAGGTTTGACCACATTGCTTACATTTATAGGGTTTCTCTCCAGTGTGCATTTGTTCATGTCTATGACACCAACTAAGGTAAACAAATACTTTCCCACATTCCTTACATTGATAAAGAATATTTCCAGTATGTATCTTCATGTGTGCCCCAAGGGAGTTGCGATTAATGTAGGCTTTGCCACAGTGCTTACATTCATAGGGTTTCTCTCCTGTGTGAAGCTTTTCATGTTTTTGTAAGGAAGAGTATCGTTTTAATGCCTTCCCACACTCCTTACATGTATAGGGCTTTTCTGCCCTGTGCATCAATTTGTGTATTTTTAAGGACGTGTCATGTCCAAAGGCCTCTCCACAAACCTTACATTTGTAGCGTTTCTCTTCAGTGTGACTTCTTTCATGTATTTGAAAACTTTGGTAATTTCCGGGGGGGGTTCTACAGTGTTTCAACTGAGAGAGGGTCTCTCCAGTGTGGGTTCTCTCTTGAAGAGAAGTTGAAGAACTAACGTTTTTCTCACAAGCCTTCCGCTTACGAGCATATGCAGTATGTGTGATCATGTGACTTCGAAGCAATTTGAATCCCATTAAGGTTTTTCCACATGTCTTACATTTATAGGTTTTCTTTTCCTTGTGAGTTCTTTCATGTCTTCCCCTAGACCGAAGGGAAGTAAAGCCTTGCTTACATATGTTACATTTGTATGGGTTTTCTTTATATTTCTGATACTCAGAGAGCTTATGTCCCAATCTAATGTGCCTATTATGAGATGAATGATCTGTGAAGATTTTCCCACATATCCTACATTCATAGAGTTTTACTTCAGGAACAAATTTGTTGTTCAGATTGGTACTTGGCATAAAGCTGACATTATCTCCATACTGACTAACCTTTTTGCTTTCACAGATCTCTGTTGACCCAAGAATTCTTTGTTTTTCCCCCTGGTTTTTGGTCTGATCTCCCCATTTTATATTTATTGAAGCCAGGTTCCTGGCGGTTTCCCACATTACATCTCTATAGAGTTTTTTCTGTGAAGGATTTAGTAAAGCCCACTCCTCCTGATTGAACTTTACAATCACATCTTCAGGGACCAATGACTCCATTTCTAGATTTCCTGGATCTCCCTGAGTCCTTCCTACCCCTCCAACCACCTATGCAAATCACAGAACGACACAAGAAGCAGCACAGCCACCAGGAAACAGACGATCATCAGCCAACAGCCAGGATGGAGCAGAGCTGGAACATTTACCTGGAATAATCATTTTAAAGAGTAAGTCATGTCATTCTTCTGCTTAAAACCCTCCAATGACTTCCTGTCTCACTCAGAATAAAAGATGAAGTCCTTTCAGAATTCAAGACCCCACAATACCCTCCCAAAGATACCTCTCTGACTTCATCTGCTACTATATTTCCTCATTTAGTCCTCTTGAGTTACATTAGCTTCGTTGTTCTTCTTTGACTATAGTACTCATCCTCCCACCTCAGGACCTTTGCACTTACTATTCTCTCTTCTTGGAATGCTCTTTATCCAGATGTCCACCGTTTGCTTCTTCACCCTCTTATTAAAATTCAATAAAATTTTCCCTGCCCACCCTATTTAAATTCTGAGCAAATTGCAACATGCTCTTTCTGCCTGCACAATTTTATTTTTCTCCATAGCAGTTCTCACTAGCAGACATACTATCTAATTTATACATATGCATTTGTTTGTCCGTCTACCCCTACACATGAAAATTTCCCGAGAACAGAGCACTTTGTCTGTTCACTGATGTTTACACAGGATCCAGAATAGTACCTCGTACAGGACAGACAGTAAGTGTTGAATTAATGAAGAAATAAATGTTATCTCATTTTCTCTGAACAAACCCTATAAGGCAGATATTATTATCTCCTACTTTACTAATTAGAAAGTGAGGACCAAGCTGACTAAATAATACATCCTATAGCATACATGTAATGAATACAGAAATAAAGATTTGGCCACTGCGCCTAAATTTCAAAGCCTATCCTTTTTTTTCATGACCTTGATTTGATTTCTTTTCAGAAGTAAATACTTTTCCATGTGGCATAGGCTTAAAATAAATGGAAAAGTCTTTAAATCCCAATCATGTGGTAACAAATAAATGAAATGGATTCTGGATATATAGTGGCAGTGACTGTATATATTTTTACTTTGCTCAAATCTCCCCCATGAAACCAGACAAACTCAGCAAACTCAAAAACACATGGACAACATCTATTATAAACTAGGTAGCAAGATATTCCTAGAAGATAATATAAGAAGGAGAGGACAACTCGTTGGTACCCACAGTACCTACATGGTATCAGCACTTGCATAAGGTACACAGATAATATAGTAATATTACTAAAGATAATTATTGTTATTATTATTGTGTTGCCTTTGGAGAATAATAGGAAATCAATTATCTTGAAAACCATTAAATGAAAGGGGAAATCAAGTATTTCTTCTACTTTTTAGCTGAATTTATTGGGGTGACATAATTAATAAAATTATATAGGTTTCAGGTGTACAATTCTATAATACAGCACTTCTATACTGTATTGTGTTTACACCATCCCAAGTCAAGTATCCTTCCATCTTCATTTATTCCCTCCTTTACCTTCTTCTACCTCCCTCCATTTTCCTTTCCCTCTGGTAATCACCATATGTTGTCTGTGCCTGACTTTGGGGCTTTTATGTGTGTGGAGGGGTTACTTAATCTACAGTGCTTACATTCATAGGGTTTCCCTTTTTTAGTCTTCCTTTATTTAATGAACTATACCATTGGTTAACCAAATGATAAATATTTCAACTAACAAATGAAAAAGAAATTAGAGCATTAAAACATCACTATTTTGCAAATACTAATCTAGGCGTTGCTGAAATCACAAAAATAGAGATTTGCAGTTGTTATACGCTTGTAGACAAAATATCACATTGCTTACAATCTTGCCAGAAACAATTTTAAAAATTAAATGACAACCTCAACAGATTTCTAAATGGGAATTTCTCAAGCACTAATGATGTTTGGAGCTGGATAATTCCCTGCTGTGAGGGTCTGTCCAGTGCATTGTAGGATATGCTAGTAGAACCACCCACTCCACTGTAAAAATAAAAAAATAAATCTTTCTAAGCATTATCAAATGTCCCTGGACAGGGGCATAAAATCACACACACACACACACACACACACACACACACACACACACACTGGAAACCACTGCTCCAATGCACCTACCATTCCACAGATTAAAGCAGGGAACAGAGGAACATGTTAAACAAAATCATATGGAGGCAATCAGCAAAATACAGATTGTGGAAACTTTCACAGATCAAATGACCCAGGTTATTCAATGAATAAATGTCCAGGGGGAAAAGGCTAAGATGGAGCGGGGCAGGGGTCCTTTAGATAAAAATACACTTATTACTCATAAGTATCTTTTAAAAAATAGGTAAAACTAAACTATAGGGTGTAAGGATGCACAGTTGAGTGATAACATTATAAAGAAATAGAAGTGATTACTATAAAAGTCCTATGGGAAGAGAAGTAAGTGACTGAGGTTGGAATCAGTCTTTTGGCAGATGGTGGGATTTCTTAGGTGACTGGCAAAATTCTATTTCTTGACTTGGGTATCATTTAAAAAGGGTGTTGACTTCCTAATAATTCATTAAGTTTTAAAGTTGTTATGTCCACTTTTCTGTGTCTATGTTTGTCCAATAAAAATGCATAAATGATGCCCGGCTGCTGTGGCTCAGAGGTTGAGTGTCGAGCTATAAACCAGGAGGTCACAGTTTGATTCCCAGTCAGGGCATGTGCCTAGGTTTCGAGCTCAATTCCTCCAGGGTGGGGCATGCAGGAGGCAGCCAATCAATGATTTTCTCTCATCATTGATGTTTCTATCTCCTGCTTCCTTCCTTTCTGAAATGGACAAAAAATATTTTAAAAAATAAAAACGCATAAATCAGTAAAAACATAATAAACAAACACAAGAATCTGCCTTTCTTTCCACTTCACTTGTGTTGGCGTTCTACAAAAACTGTCCTTGAGAGAAGAACATTGAATTTAAGTCAGATCGATGTTTACTGCTACATTCCCTTAGCTTAGAGATGTAAATTGTAATTATTATTTCAAAAACTATTTTGAAGATCTTAAGAGGAATTATCTCAACCCAACACAAACCATATGTATAATGAAATATCTTGGTCTACTGTTTAAGGAACATCTCACGTCAAATCAGCTAATACCTATCGATATAAAGGAGCCTATTGTGATCCAGGCGATCTGCCAGGTACTGGGAGAAAAAGTGACGCATTGTCAAATGTGAACAGAGCTCATGAGAACTACATGGACTAAGGAGCGATTTGTGGGATGAGAACTTTTAGAAAGATTTGCAGACCCAATAGACAGAGGCACTCCACAGGTGTGTGCCTCCTTTCTTGCAAAAGATATGCTCCTGAAGAGTTCTGTGGTGATTAAATTTTTATGAATTTAATTATATTTTCTCGTTGACTTACATTATAATCAGAAAGTGGCTTTATCTACATTTTGGATTAATCTTCAACTGGAGGTGGCTCCCAACAGTTTAAGTTTCCCTGCTTCTCTGTCAAGTAGTTAATAGTTTATAAACAAACATTTTAAAGGTACTATTTAAAGGAACCCTTGAGTGAATCCTTTTGAAAAACAAAGGATTCTTTGGTAACATTAATAAATAATCATTAGATTGAATGTTCATCAAGCTTTCTTAAAGTAAAATATATCTATTCACAAGACTTCAATGTCCTTTGATAGGATTTCATTGAAATGATATATCTTCGCCTAAGGATCAGAATCTATTTTATGTGTGTTTTAGGACAACATCTCACATTACTGATCTTCCCATTTGTCCAGTAGCATTGAGAACACTCTATCCAGAGGCTCTTGGGAAACATTATTAAAGATAGATCATATTACTGAGTTATGTGATGCAATAGGACCTTGGCTTTCACTCCTGTTAAAAATTACACAATATAAACGCAATGCTACTAAATCCAAGAGAGTGGTAATTTGAAATAACTGGCCCTCTGGTTGGATTCCTTGGGACGGAAGATGTTTAAGCTGTTTACTTTAGAAATGTCCCTTGAGGTGCAAGTAGGTCACTGGAAATCTTGAATTGAGAATGGAGCTCATTGGCCCCACCATGCCAAACCTAAGGTGACCAGACATCCCGTTTTTGGTGGACAGTCCTACCAAAAGCGGGACGTCTGGTCACCTTAGAAACCTCATCACCACATCTCTCTCCTGTTCTTCCATAGTACCCCGTCTGCCTGCCCGTCACAGCTCCTTCTCACCACTGTTATTCTTGCCAACAGTCTTACTCAGCACTCCTAATAACTTCTGTATAAGCCACAGACATTTTCCTCAGCACCAACAGTATAAAAGCTCATCACACTTCACATTGGTCAGGTTTCATTTGGGTCTAGAACATGGTAAGAGATTCCCGGGCTACAGGGAAAACGCTAGGACCAGTAATGGCAAAAACTCTAGAGCCACTATGCTTCCCCAGTGATTTAGGTAGGGTATCTCTTTCATGTCACCCTTACTGGGATTTGTGGACCAGTTTTTAATATAATAGCTCACACTGCTGGTTTCACATACCCAAAGAGATGTGATTTATGACTGGTTTCAGTCTGACTAGCTTTGTTATTTCTGATTAAAGACCCCATTTATTTTAGAGTAAATGGGCAAAGATTGGCTCATTTTTTGTCTTTGGTGACAAGAATATAACTTATAATTGGTTTATTTAGAAAATATACTAGAAATAAAAAAATGGAATGCAGCACAGAAAAATAAATCAAGTGTCAGTTTTATTGCAGAAGGGGAAAATGAAGCTCTCGCCAAATCAATTACTTTCTGTGGCTTATATAACTGTTCCCAAGGATTAGACACTGCCTTCCACATTACACTTGGGACGCTTCAACCATAAGGCATTTATCTGAATGTAGTGACGTGGTCTCATATACTAGTATGTATAGTTCTGAAGTACCTGTGGAATTCTGCAGCATTTGACAAGCATTTCACTCTAGTCAGCGTAGCAGGAAAAATTCCAAGACATGCTCCAATGA